TCTATATTGGAATATGTTTTACTCTAATAGTAATAGAATTTTGTCTTTATAAATGTAATTATACATTTACTTATTTCCAAAGTAATTGTCAAATTTATTAAATGATTAAATTTGAAATATGTGAATTAAAAAAAGAAAGACTAGTTAACTGTAATCCCTCAACCCAGACGCAAATGTTAATATTCTCTTGTTTTTTCTTTTAGTCTTTCTTTCTAATATACACATTATGTTTTTTCTCCCTTAACATAGTCGTATTATGTATGTTATGTTCATCCTTAATAATATAGTTCATCATATTAAATAATGTATTTTATCATATCATTAAATATTTATGACATATCATTCTGTTGCTATTTATATCTTAAACAGGTCCCTTATTGTTATTTTAGATGTGTCCTGATTTTTTTAACTTAAAAAACACCTACGACAAAGAAAATTTTTATAGCAAAATCTTCAGAAATTTGTCTGTTAATTTATCAACCTACTTCACAAACTTCCATTTAATAACTAAAATACCAATTTACTAAGATTTAAAATACTAGTCCCATTCCACCATCATTATTTAACTCAGTAAAAAAATTTTTCTAGATTTTTCTAAATTTTTAAAATCCCTCTATTTTTCTACCTACTAAATTTTTTTAACTTCTACCCCAAAGCATTTCATTTTCATGCATTTGCTTTTGGCAAAGTGAAAAAGGTTCAACATATCACCAAAATACAAAATAGATTATTTCAAGATGACAACTGTTACAATTTTGAAACTATTTTGCTTTCAAAACTTTTACCATACAAATGAACTTTGTCATGATCCTATTTAAAATGAGAATAGAATAAAAACTATAGTACAAGTTACACTAATTAGGTAATAATTTTCTGCATCAAATAATTTTCTAAAATAAATTTCTTTCCTCGAGAAGATAGACACTTCCTTTTGGCTAAGCATTCCTCAGTTCATCTCCTACGAAGGCGGATAGGAGAGACTAGCTTCCTGGTTCTGTATATGGATTACTACATAGAGAGAAAAATAAGCACAGCTTTCCTTCTCTAGATAATAAAATTCCATTAAAAGATTTATTTCTGAGGCAGCAGTTTAAAAGAAATGACCATGGGATATTCACATTCTTATAAACAACTTCCATGTCCATGAGAAGGGGCCATGCCTCCCTGTAATCCTGATATCAAGAATCTCACAAAACTCATTTGTACTGCTCATAACTATGGGTCCTTGGGTTCTGTGGGGTTTTCAGCCCATGCCTTCCAAACAAATGAGCTTTTTCATTTGTTCCTTAATGACTTTGGTTTGTACAAAGAGATCTTAAACTGTCCCCGGAGCAATCGTTTTGCTAAAATGTTTTTAGAACATCTTTACAAATTTAGCAACAAAAGGGGCTTCATTAACAATTGAAGTCATTGGGAACCAAGGCCCTTAGCAAATTCAGTGCTCACCAGTCTTGTTTTATTTTCAGCAATGAGGACAATAATGTTGTGAACTATCCACTGACTCCTTAGTTGGTGGGTGGGTAAGGAAGTTGAGGAGTGGATGCCGTGGGAAGAGATGCTCGAAAAATCAGAGCGGTAGTCTCCGGTTAATCAGCTCTGTCCTTGCCCTTCGAAGGAGACCTGTAAACCGGAAGTAGCGCGTTCGCATGGCATCTGCTAATAGAGCTATTTCTTTCCTGAGAGTTTGGAGATTTGCAGCTGAGACCGAGGGCGGTTTTTCAATGGCCCATCCACAGGCTTGAAATTATATATGTAAACATATGTGTGTCTCATTTTTATAGTAATCAAATTTGATACATCTGCTATGCACAGAGGGACAGCTGCTGATAAGCCTGAAAAGTTGACCTGCAGCTTCTGGCAGAGCAAATCCAAATTATGGGGTCTCTCTCTTGGTTTGGGACTGCAGCTTGAGATCCAGAATCTGCCCCTATTCTGGGCAGCTTTGCTTTTAAAGGCCTCCTTTGCCCAGGATAACTTTTGCTAGATTCCTTCAGGGGGGTCTGTCATTTTATCCAGCACTTTATTACTGAGTGCCCTTTTAAGATTTTTTTCTCCATGCTGTATGTATGACCAGATTGCCGTAGAGCAGTTGCTTAAGTACACTGCTCACCTATGTCCTTATGCTCGCCCAGAGGCTGCATTTTAACAAGTATCGCTTCAGTGCTGGTGGGCACCATGGATACTTACTGTTGGAAATCCAGTCTTGCCCATATTGGATATTTCTCAAAGAGACTGATTTAACTGTGTATTAGAAAATTAACTTAAAAAAAAAGGTTAGCGGGACCCTGTGGCCAATTCAGCACTGAGAGCATGATAAGTTGGATGTGTCCATATTACTCTGATGACTACCACTAATAGAAAACAATGTATCATACTTCTGTTGTCATAGCCATCTCTAAACTGATAAAAATGGGAAAGACTTTCACGTACAGATCATCCTGGATCTCAGTTTACTATATAGTGGTGATAGTACAAAATATCTTCTCTGAGAACAGAGTTCCCTCTCCTGCAAAAAGAAGTTTATAATGCAGATATCATGATATTATTATATAGACTAAATAAAATGTGTAACCTGGAACATGGTATTGCACAGAATTGCTATTTCCAGCTTCTCATGCTCCTCTAGCCAGCGCCCAGGGCTTTGGATGGGCCAGTCCATTTATTCATTTATATGTGCATCTTACACAGTTCTGCATCAGCCAGCAACATCTACTGAATAACAAAATATGGGCTATTGCTAGTGACTATGATATATGGCAGTCAAGTTATTTCTAAGGAATATAGTTAATATCTTTTTTTTGCATTTTCTATATTTCTGTATGCTTTTTCTACTTGAAACCATTGATATTGGAGATGGATTTCATAGGCAGTAAAAAACCTAATTCAATGGGCTCTCTCCCTATATTCTCTTTAGTATATTAATAGCTTAATGACTTTCTATTAGGTCTAACATTAAGAAAATATACATTGAGAAAAAAAGAAAATATACATTGATTTATGAGCTGATGATTTCAGTAGACATTTTATTGTTTTTTCTTGCAAATGTTTCTATTGATCTCTTGGCCAAAGTCATAACAATTATACAGTGTTTTGCTCTGTAGCCTATAATATTTGGGAGAAAAGACTCATCCTCTTTTCTAGTTGTTGATTTAGAGAAAGACGAGGTTTCTTAACTTTTTATTATAGTTAGTAAAGATGGAAGCATATTTGTAATCCTGTATCCTATCTACCATGATTGAACGTGGTAGCAATGTTTTCTGAAGTTCTTGGCTGGTTTCTTCTGATGTCTGTGTTCCTTTAAAAACAAAACAAACAAACAGAGTGCTTGCCTTCTAATACCACAAAGAAAAAAGGCTTCAGTTAGCAAGGTTAAAGTAACTTTTTTCCAAACACTCCAAATTACTTCTAGGAAGAGACAGAATAATATAGTTTTAGGCATTTCTGGGAACAATTAATTTTGTATGATACTTCTAGCAAATATAAGCATTGTGGTATCCTGAAACACAATCTCAATATTCTGAGTGTAGCCCTACTTAGCTGCTTAACAGAATAAGATGAAGCTTATCTTACTGGTGGTCATTCAGACACTTCCTCCTGTTTTCTAAATACCCCTTCAACCATAGCAGTGTTTTAACCATCAATCAAGGTCCTAAACCTTTAGAAGAGATTATTTTATCTTGCTACCCAGAGAAAACACCTCTTAATCAGCCACATTCAAATTATAAGTGAGAAATTTAAATAGTAGATCACTGAATATGACACAAAGCAGACATGTATTCTTTGACTTTTTGTAAGTATTCTAGTGTTCTTTCAGAGAATTTGGTTTTTAAAATGTGGGATATATACTGAGACTTGAGAGAACAGTATTTAGTAAAAAATTGCTATGGTAAAGTAAACATGAGCATTTACAACTTATAAATAGTCAAGAGTAATTAAATCCACTCACAGTTTCCCACCGTAATATTTATTTTGTAGTCCAAGTCAAATTTGGTCTATTTTTATAGTCACTTTTATAAATGTAGGGAAAAAGAAATTTCTACTTTCTCAAAATTTATTACTTTATGTTTTATCTGTTTATTATCTCTATCAGTAATCTTCTAGGTTCCAAAATGTGAAGACCTATTTGAGAAAACTAATTTTAGGGAGACTTGTCTATGATTTTAGGAGAAAATGTTTGTTTTATTCAAATTAGTCTCTTCAGCCTGTGCTTTCTTGTCATTCTTGGGTCTGCCAATTATTAGAGAAAATGGTTGGTAAGTGTCTTAATGTTGATGGAAATGTAAAGCATCCTGTTTGCATTGTTTTTTTAAGCCTTTGTGTTCTGATTTTTTTTAAAGATTTTATTTATTTATTTGACAGAAAGAGAGGGAGAGAGAGAGAGATCACAAGCAGGGGGGTGGCAGGGGGAGCGGCAGAGGGAGAGGGAGAAGCAGGCTCCCAGCTGAGCAGGGAGCCCGATGCGGGGCTAGATCCCAGGATCTTGGGATCATGACTTGAGCTGAAGGCAGACGCTTAACTGACTGAGCCACCCAGACATCCCGTGATTTTTGTTTAAATATAGTTTCAAGAGTAGAAATAAAACTTGCATTCAAAATACATTATTTTACATCATTCAATTGCCAATATTTTTGAATATTGTTAACTATATAGTATTATTCTCTTTCAGGTAAAATCTAATTAACAAAATCATCTTTTTTAAAAACTGACTGTAGGGGCGCCTGGGTGGCTCAGTTGGTTAAGTGACTGCCTTCGGCTCAGGTCATGATCCTGGAGTCCTGGGATCGAGTCCCACATCAGGCTCCTTGCTCAGCGGGGAGTCTGCTTCTCCCTCTGACCCTCCCCCCCTCATGCTGTTTCTCTCTCTCTCTCTCTCAAATAAATAAAATCTTTAAAAAAATTAAAAAAAAAACAAACTGACTGTAGTAAATCAGCATCTGTCTTTAGTTTCAATGCTATGAAGCTTTTAATTAACAGAAAACCAACATGGGTTGCTTCTTTAGAATACCACTGAATGTTAGAGACATCGTCTACTGTACAGGAGTTTCACTACTAGATGAGGATGTCTGGGAATTCATATGGATGAAATTCCACTCCACCACAGCAGTTTCTGAGAAGAAAATATTATTGGAAGCCTTAACTTGCAGTGATGACAGGAACTTATTAAATAGGTGGGTCAATTAATTTTCTAAATTTATTTGTGTAATGAGAGTACTCTCTGTTAATCAAACTACACTGAACTTGATTTTATTTCCTCAAATATATACTAGTTACTCTAAGATGTATCTTCTATAGCTAAGGAAAACTGCCATGTTGACATGACTAAAGCTAATTGAATCGAAAGAGATACCTTTGTTTCTCACTAAATTGTAGGACAATATTTCATTGAAAAAGGAAGTGTTTACTATAAAGATTTTTTTTAAAGTGAGTTGATAGCATCAGAACAAAATTGTGATTTCTTCACCCGCAAGATTTTTTCAAAATTTAATTAATGAGCTAATTAAAATGTTATGAATTTGCTCTTCCCCCTTTTATAAATAGAAAATTGTTCTGTTGGTAAGTTGTATTAGTAGTTTACACAGGACTGTTCTTTTAAAGAATATGGCAAATTAATGCATGTAATTTTTATAATTTTATAAAAATGTTTAAGTTATTGGGCTAAAAGTTTTTCTACAATTCTGTCCTTAAAGGCTTCTGAATCTATCACTGAATTCTGAGGTGGTGTTAGATCAAGATGCAATTGATGTGATAATCCATGTCGCTCGAAATCCACATGGCCGAGACCTTGCCTGGAAGTTTTTCAGAGATAAATGGAAGATATTAAATACCAGGTAGAAATAAGAGTTCAGTCATTCAAACCTGAGTGAGTAAATTAAAGGTGACATAGGAGAGATAAAGGCCCAACTTTTTGTGTTAAAACCAAGGTCCAGATAATAGAATTAGATTTTAAAATAGTCAACCAAGTTGGGTGTTGCTACTTCTGTGAAACTCAGAATTATTTTAATGATTCTATGACATTATTCGTGTAATAAAGATTAAAAACTGTGATTATATATGGAAATGTGGGAGTAAAAAGGTTTAGCAGTACAACTTTTGTGGGAAATCTATTAAGCTGTCTAAGGTTGAAGAAATATCATAAAACTATATTCTAAATGTGTTGTAGAAAAAATGATTTATAAATCAGATATAATTATTATATTATATAACAAGAAAATTTGACCTCTGCAGAATTGTTTTAAATTTTCTTTAAATATAAATATAAAACACCTGAAATAAAACCAAGATATAGAGAAGGAGCATTTGAATCATTGTATAACTTTAGTTGCAATAGAATGCATTCCTGAGACATCTTGTTTCATGGTGAGAATTCTTCAGCCTCAATTAAAGAAAATGTTTCATTATGTATTTAAATGTATTATAATGAATGTTGATTTATTACTCTGATAATCTCTATGGCATTTTAAAATTAAATTTATTATAGAGCCTGTGGATGCTCCGTGTTCTCAAACTTAAATGTCCCCAAACAGTGAACAACAGACCTCTTGTTCTGTCTCTTAAAACCTGGTGTGTAAACTTTATGTTTTTAAGGTATAGCTTTCTCAGTTGCCCTTGAATAATGGGTTCAATTTGAATGGATGTGTCCTGTTAAAGCACAATTCTATCTACAGACATTTCATTGTCAGAAAGCACTGATATTCCTAGAAGACATATTGGCTTTTTTGTATTTGCAGCTCAGAAATTGGAATGATTGGAAGATTAGAACTTGCTTTGCTCTCATGTACCCCTAATATAGTGAATAGTCAGATACCAGGTGAAATTAATATATACGAACATTTCACTTAAAAAAGTGTCAAATATCTGCCAATGCACAGTCTCCTTAGGAAGTGGTTTTGTCTATCAGAGTTCAGCATAGTGCAGGTATAGTTCAGTTCCAACCAAAAAATGTTTGGTTCCTGGTATGCTTATTTTGTCTTATTGAGACTCCATGGTCTCCCTCCGAAAGGTAGAAAGGTTGAGATTTCAGTATATCTACAGATATGGAAGTGCTTATCTTGACAAATAGGACTGTCTTCTTCATCTGCTCTTACTCGTCTGTCAATCCTTGAACACTGGAGTTCATGGAGGTGCTATCCAAGGTACTCCTTATTTCCTGCCTGCAGATTCTCCCTGTTTTTAGTTGCCATCTACTCCAATCACTCGATCATTTCAGTTGCTCCCAAATCTAGATCTCTTACTCAAACATTTTGTCTAAGCTTCACCCTATGATGGACCATTGCCTGTTTGGACCCTCCTACTGAGGTGTACCTGCAAAGCTAAATCCATCATTGTCCTCTTGTCTTCCTTTCCCCAGTAAATAATATGGCCATCCACCAATTGCTCAAGCCAGAGACTTGGAAAACCACATGTACCCCCTTGCCGTATATAACAATTAGGCTTGAAATATTGTCAATTTAACAAGTCCTAAAAGAAAGGGGCCACAATACTGTAAGGGGAGCATGAGAAAACCTCTTATAATGGGGGCTGAGACTTTGCTTCCAAAACCTCAGAATCTTTTTTAGTGTACTTTTCTTAATTCTAAGAGTATGGTAGCCTGTGACAGGTATCCTTAGCACAACAGAGATAAGTCAGTAAAATGAGAAACCTCTCCAACTCACCGATACAAATTGTTCCTTACTGTGGGTCATGAGTCAAGAATTTATGTCTGTGGTACAAGGATTATGCAATCCAAGTGAACAACTCAATATTTTAATTTAATGCCTACATGAAAACATACTAATATTTGGGGAGCATTTCTAAAGAAATTTGGCTCAGTTTCTAAGCATGAAAAAGAATGCCAATGTCAGTTATGAGTCACCAGACCAAAGGATCTGTGTGACATACTGATAATGCCCAAGTTTGTATTACACTCCTGTTTCCTTTGTTGGGATTTTTTTTTTCCTCATAGTGAACTAAGTTGTTTAAAGTAGAAAGTTTTAAAATATTTCTCCCTCAGTCCTTGGATTGAAAATATAATAGTAATTCCTAAATCTAATTTTAGAGGGTTCCTTTTTTTTTTTTAATTTACTGCACCTTAGACCTCTCTGAAGCATTTTGAGCTAAATCAGGGGGCATCTGATGGTATTCCGCAGTCACAGCTCTTTGCACCTCCCTGGCTCCCTGGAGAAATGACCTTGAAATGTCCAGAGATCTTAATGGCAACAAGATAACATTGGTCAAATGGAGCCCTTGAAAAGGATTCTAAAAAAATCTATAGAGTAGTATTTCTTAAATTACTTCCTATATTAACATCAAGACTTTTTTATCTTTCCAGGTATGGAGAGGCATTATTTATGAATTCCAAACTCATTAGTGGAGTTACAGAATTTCTTAATACTGAAGGTGAACTCAAAGAGGTAAATATTTTAATATATGAGTTCTAATGTTTTTCTTTTATAAATATATGAAATTATACATTCACTTTAACCATTTTTTTTCCAACAGATTCATATCCATTTCTTAAAAAAAAACACACATTCATGCTAAAGACTTAACTTAATTCATTATTTGCAAAATTATTTCTATTATATTAAACATTAAATGCCTTTGGGGCTCCTGGGTGGCTCAGTAGGTTGAGCATCTGACTCTTGGTTTTGGCTCAGGTCATGATCTGAGTCTTGAGATCCCCTCTTAATGCTCTGTGCACTCAGTGCAGAGTCTACTTGTCCCTCTCCCTCCCCCTCTGACCATGTGAGTGCTCACTCTCTCTCTCTCTCTCTCTCTCAAATAAGTAAATAAAATCTAAAAAACAAACAAGCATAAAATGCCTTTGAGAGATGTTTGAATATAATGATTCTCAAATCCACTCCAGATCTCTTTGATCCAATCAGCTACTCCTCGGCTGATGATGTGAACCCAGCTTAGGATCCTAGAAATGACAGACCCATCCTGTCACAATGACTCAGTATTTGGGTACAAAAGATCAGGGCTGGTGTTAAGATATAGAACTTAAGTCTCCTTGCTTCGTGGTCAGGCCAATACAGGGAGTGGGTCACTAGGTGTGATGATAATGCTTCATGCTATCTAGTCTGTTCAATGGAATGAATTCATATGTATGAAAGAGAAAGTATCTGGCAATATATAATGAGATTAATAGTTTTTTCTCTGGTTTATTTCTCTGGAAATAATTTTTTTTTTGACCATTAACTCACATTTGTAAAAGAGATGGGTGTGAAATGTGGAGGGGTAAGTATGTGGGAGGGAGGAAAAAATATAGATACTTTTAGATGATTCAGATGAGCTGGGCTTCAACCATCTATCACTTTTTTGTCTGCTGCTCGACTCCATTATAAATATATTTTATATATTTGGTCTTGAGAATCATGGTTTCCTCCGCTCTCACCGACGGAACGCCTGAGGCTGTGACCCAGAGCTAATCATACTGAGCAGCATTTCCCCAGAAGCATCAACCCTGGCACCATCCTTAGCATCTAATACTGCCCAATGTTGTATGATCACCTCTCATGCACTAACTTGGGTTCTTACACAGGATGAGTTAAGCTAAGTCTCTGATTGCAATGATTTGAAATTCAATTTTTATCCCTGCTGTGTATTCCCAACCCTAAAGGATTTGGTTCTGAAAGCCCCAGCCCATGTTTTACTAAATTTTTTTAATAAAGGAAGCTAAATGAGAAGGACTTCTTTCATATCCATATGAAACAGAATGAAAGAACAATTAAATGAATGATTGCTTCCAATTTTCTCTGTATTTAAATGAAGTACTTTTAATTTCTTGATTTTACATTCAGGAATCAGTGAGTAAAAGACTCATTTAGTCACAACCTGTGAAGCCACTGAAGTGAACACAGAAGTGAAAAATCGCTTCCACCCTTCCCTTCCCCTCCTCCCTTGTAGCTCCCTTCCTTCTCCTGTTTTCTCCCTGCCTTTGCCCCTTTCCTGCTGCCTCTCTCCTGTACCCACTCCCTTTTGTTCTTCCTCAAACTCTTGTCTATCTTTCACACTTTCCTTGCTTCAGGTATACCAGGCACTGGGAAAACATCTTTTAAATGGATACTTATTTGATTTTATCCTATGCTGCCATTTTGTCTTACTTACTTCACACATATTTTTAATATTTTTCCACTTGATTTAATTGTCATTTGAAATGTTCTTGTAATGAAAAGTTCAGTTTCAAACCTGAAACTGAACTGGGCTTTTATTCCATTACCTATGGAGTGGCTAACTTCACAATACCATCTCTCTGTGGCATGTGCGAGGGATACAAAGCAAACTCCCATTCCACTCCACAACAGCGGTCCCCAATCGTTAAGACAATGCGATAATGAAAGTATGGAAAAGCCTCAGAGGGCAGATGTCAAACTAGAAAGTCAGTACAAGTGGCCATGTCATGAAGGGATCTGCCGCCATTAATATAAAGGGGGTGAGGAAATTCCAGATTCATCCTTTTATAACCAGTGAGCCTCACAAGCAGAAAACCCAATGCGCTCCCTTTGGATGGGGGCATATTCTTATTTTCAAGAGTATATATAGATCAAAAGGGAATCAACATCTTTGTGAATTCTGAAAACTCAGTTGAGATGTTAATGATCCCCATCAGCCCATTGTTGCAGGGTCCCTTCCCCGAAACTGCATTCTAGTACCTGAAACTGGTAATTTCCTTCTAATTACATGGCTCTAGCCATTTGAACACTATTTCTCTATGAAACAGTGTGTTATTTCCTTAATTTTAAACTAATGGAAGTACAACCTGAGGGAGCTGCAGAGGCCCTTTGCCAGTTTTTCATACTAATGTCTGTTAAGCAATTCTCTCCAGCCCTTGTTTTTTTTTTTTTCTTCTTGAGCCTAATCTACAACCCTGTTGTGGAGGAACATAGATCCTGTGCATCACAGACATCCCATTTACAGTTTTAATGTTGAAAATATAAACCTCATAATAGGGCAATTGCTAATTCAATTCATTTATATGGTTACTGAGTGTATATTAGGTTTTGCCATTCACTCTACAAATAATTTATTCTGTGATATTTAGGGTCTAGGGTACCCTAAAATCAGAGTTTTCTTTTTAAACCTGAAAATGTCTTCTAATGGAGAAATTAACAAACATGTCTAGAAATTTTATGCTAAGAACAGGAAGCACAAACAACTCTGACATCTTACTAAATGCTATTTTATAAAAATGTCTAAACTTGCAACATTTTCAAATAAAAGCATAAGATGGCATAAATATGTAGGAAACACAGTAATAAAAGCTAATAACAGCAGAAAATCTACCAAAGAGCTGCAGAAATAAGCAAACTGGAATGCCAAGTCCCTTCCATCTACCCAGGGCCTCTAAAGTCAGGCAAGGGGTCAGGAAGGTACTATGATCACACCCCCCAGGACCTGTTAGATAGCTGCTCTAACCACATGTTTGACAGAAGAGCTGCAGAGGAATCTGGGCATAAAATCAATATGTGCCAACTACGGAAAGTGGGCCATATATGTTCTGATGAATAAGCTACTCCCAAGATTCATACAAGTCACCTCAGGCTCTCTGAGCTCATGAGGCAAGTATTTAGTGCACTTAAATAGTGATTTAAGAAATGAATCCCAGGGGACCCACCACTTACATTTGTTATTGATGGTTCTCCTGCAGGATAATCTGACCTACTGTCTTTGTGTCAATAACACATTCATATTCAAACCCATAGTTTGTCTTTGAGGAGGACTTAAGCGTTTTGCTTCATGTGTTCAGGGTGGCTTACTGTCAGTCTCCTCAAGGGGCCAAGAGCATGCTGCAGAGTCAAAGTTGCCAAAGGGTCATTTATCACTATCTGGCACGTTTAGTACTGCCGAGGAAAGTATGTAATAATGCAGAATATATTTTAAGAGGAGTAAATATGATTTTTTCCTGATTGACATATAGTATGTAAAGAATTCCACTGTGATATACAAATGTATGTACACACGTATGCTGTAATATACCATACTTTTGTATTAAAACAATTCAAGACATAGATCATAATGTATTACTTGTTGCTTTAGGAATATAGAATGAATGAGTCCAAACGTATAAATATATATGAATTATTGGATTAATCAGTTAAAGTTTAAAAATATGATTCAGTGTTTCCACTAGACTTCCTTTTAATATCTTTGTGCCTGTAACGGGCATATGTGTGTGGCACAGTGCCTGGAATATTGAAGACATTCAATAAGCTCCCATGTCTTCCCTTCTTCCTCTTAGTTTGTATAAATCTGGTAAAATGTCAAATCAATTTTCAGGATAGCATCAATAAATCTTTGTTATATGTTGGATATTTTACATGTTTCTTATCAAAGCATAGTGATTTTGAAGTCTTATAAAGGATATAGCTCTGAGATATAATTATCCATTGATAATGCTGCGGGGGGCATGGGGCTTTATAGGAAAGGAGAGGGAAAACTTCGAGAAAACCCATGAGTATCATGTAATCAAAGTAACACTGTCATAAACAAACCAAGCTACCAATGAACCAATTTCTAGATTAACTCAGAAAGGTATTAAAGAGTCCATTTTAAATGCCCCTCCCCTCATACTCCCTGCTCCTGAGTCATTCTGGATGCACTACATTTCCCTCCTGGCATATCCTCCATGTGGCACCCACCATGTGATGAATCACACTCACACTAATTACACCACTAATGTTTCTGTGTTGCAAGTTGATTTTTCACATTTGCCTATTAGCATTGCAATTGTTGGTTGGTTGCCAGTTTCTTAAGACATATCAGTCAGAAAGAAAAACTGCTAAAATTTAATCTTGAAACAAAATCCCTGAGCATTCCCAGAATATGCAAACTCTCTAGAGAAAATCTTATATCCAGAAAAATAATAGCAAAGCATTTTAAAATTGTAAATTATTTTAATTAAGTGCTCAAAGTATCTAGCTAAATGAATCCACGCTTAGCTTTCCTTCATTCTTTCTAAGTTGAGTCACTCGGGCAGTTGAAATGTCATTAATCATCCAGTTTTCATAGCATCATTACTTTCTTTCCACCACCCAATAACTGGTAATCCCTTCCTACCAAAGATAGTGTCAAGCCCTTATGCTACTTATTTGGAGAAGAGGAAGAAGAGTTGCATCTCTACCAACAAAGAGGGAACTTTAATCCTTATCTTCAGTTTTTAAGGCTATCTGTACATTGGATATGCTTTGTAATTAGAACTAGCCTTGGCCACAGTCCCCTCAACCTATTATGAAAAGATAAATATGTCTATTTTAATATTTACTTATGAAACAAAAAGCTGAATTTGGAGCTCTTGAAACTGTAATGTCTGCTCTTTTTTCCTTCCGGTTCCAAAAGAAACTACCTTGCACCTAATGGACGCAATTTGTGGTATTGTATTTCGTTAGTGAGCTTGCTTCCCATATTAAATATGCCTTCTGCAGTGACTATGGCACTTTGTTTCACATACAGTCTAGCTTATATATGCTCGACAGGAGTTTGAGACATGCATATTTACCCTTCAAAAATGTTTCTTTCCAGCTGAAGAACTTCATGAAGAACTACAATGGAGTAGCTGCTGCCTCTTTCTTGAGAGCTGTGGAAACCGTCGAAGCCAACGTGCGCTGGAAAATGCTTTATCAAGATGAGCTTTTCCAATGGTTAGGAAAAGCTCTGAGACACTAAAATCTCTCTTATAAACAATTCAACTCCAAATTTTGGGAGAAGACCTGTTTTCTATGGAATGAGGAAAATGTGCTATGTGGAAAATGGCCAGATTTTCAGCGTTAACGTGTGGGAGGAATTTTTTTTTTTTTTTAATTTTTGGTTTGGGGAGATTTTTTGTTTGTTTCATTCATTCTGTTTTGTTTCTCTACTGGTTGTTCTTCTCTAAAGAAACTCTTGCAAGTGAAACTAGCCATGATGGCTTCAGCTGTACATTCCTTGCTGTACAGGACCAAATATGATAGTGATGCATGTTGATGTTGCAGTCAGTTTGGAAAAACATATTCAGAATATTTTGTGCATGGTTGTATGGTCCTGCCTGTGTTCAGCATGCTTATTTAAACTGTCTGACGTCATATGTGAATGTATGTTACATCCAGGATGGGCATTATACATAAGCACAAAGATTATCTATGACAATCAGTGTTGCAATGAAAGAAAAACTATAAAGGAATTCTATTCTTAGTCCTGGGCAATGTGGGAGGTGAAATAGTCCTTTAAGTGATCATTATCACTTCTTTCAGCATTTGGATTGTCTTGCAATGATGACTGTGTTGCTAACTCATTTTCTTCGAGTTACAGCTGTGTATATGTTTAAAAAGTCATATAGACAGTGTATGCATATGTATATGTACAGAGGGAAGCCCTATATGTATATAGTACGTTGTACACTGCACTTCTGCAAAGAATCGCTTCTGATCAAAGAAACTTTATCTCTTTTTATAAACTTATGCAAACTTTGAAAAGGCTGAAAAGAATTTATCTCAACACTCTCCTTCCTGACAATTTCCTGACTAAATTTCTCAACTGTTATAGATTTTTTTTCATCTATTTCCGGAACAACGATCTATTCTACTACATGAAAATGAGTTCAAACAAAATTTATGTATAAACACTCTTCTAATTCTCCAAAGTGGCAGCCACGTATCCTAAATATAGATTCTGTCATCATTCTGGTCCAACTTCCTGTTGCGTAAAACAATTGTGCACATTTAATAATTATCAGTGCTGAGAAAACGTTTCTTTTCCATCTTATTTGTTTTTCCATCTCATGTTGGGTGGTCCAGAGGGTTAAAAATTCTGTGCGTGCGTGCGTGCGTGTGTGTGTGTGTGTGTTGGTCTTTGTGCCTGTGTCAGTCTAATCCTCCATTAAGTGACCAGGCCTCAAGTAGGTCAGATACCATGTAATGACCTTGGATCCCAGCTACGCCATCTGTTCAGAGGAAAGTTACTTTCCTTGAGCAAAGCTTTTCCTTTGGCATTGACAGCTCTCTTCTACCTAGGAATTTTAAATAGCCTTTGTCATGGGTGTCTGTTATGTAACAGAAGTGCTTTTAAGTGGTATTCTCACCCAGTAGGCCAGCTCTCCAAACGTTGTTTAGATTATCCAAAAATGAACTTATTTTAAGTTTGCCATTATAAAATACCAACACAACCACTGGACCCAAGGCAAAAGTTTGTGGACAACTTTCTACTGTATTGAGGTTTTCCACTCCTCCAAATCTTCTTGCAAATTATTGAGAGAAATATATTCTAATAGTCACTGAACATTGGGGGGAAAAAATAGGTATTTTAGAAACCAGAGCCATAGATTTATTTTGAGTCTGTGGTAAAAAGGAGCAATTTCCCAATTCATTGAACAAGTATCACCTACAATTGAATTTTATCTTTTTAGCAGTTAATAACTATTACTCATACCTAACATTTTCAGCACTTCTTTCAAGTAAAACACATGAATTTTAAGGACACTGTGTGGTATTAGTAAGGCATAGTAATACTTAGTATAAAATCTAAAAGGCATTCTGATCAGAAGTCGTGAAATTTTACTAGTACTTACCACATATATAAAATCCTTAAGGGACAAGTTCTGTGACATCACAATAATAAATACCACACTGCTGTGCAGGTCCAAAACATGTACAATTTCACCCTTGGATTCATGGAATAGAGGTAAATAGATTAAAAAATTAGAGGTGGATGTCTTATTTTGTGTCATGGATTATTGAAAATTCTTCGTAGTTGTGACATTCTTTTTGAGTGAAATCACCATTTCCAGATTTGAGTTAGAAAGGCTTTTAGAGTTCTTTTTTCCTCCCCGCTGTTAATAATCTTAATCCTCTTTCAGTATTTTAGTGGCCTTGAACAACTGGTTTAGCTACAATGTCAAATCCTAAATGTGTAATTATGTGCAATGTTCGATACCTCATAGAATATCTGTTCAACGGTTTAGTAGTATCAATGGCGTTGAGATGGAATTTCTGTTCTACATATTTTTCAATAATTTATTCTTTCCAATGTTGAAGATTATATCAGGCTTTAATGTTTTTTAGTTGTTTAAATAAGTAATATTTTCAAAATAATAAAATGACCAATGATATCTCTTGGAATATTCTGTAAAATGTAGTTATAAAATTCTATTTTCTACATAGACTTTTTATCTTTTTTCTCTTCTTTGCATGTTTTACAAGTCCTATATATGCATGAAATAACAAATTGTTGAAAGTGTTCAATATCTAGTCTTAAATCTTTACTCTGCCAATATATGTACAACACAAAACTTGGTTTCAGTTAGACAGGACTAAATTGTTTACCATACCGAATATTAAATATCACCAGGTAACTTATAAATAAAAAGTTTTTCCCATTTTCACACATTTTTCCTTAAACTTTTCTTAAAATCTTTAAGTTTTTAAAGAATAGATGAGCATGAGCTCTAAGGTTAATTTCTCCAATGTGAGGTTGATTCCTGAGTTTCAATAACCCAGATTTTAATTGGAGCTTCAGCTGACTTTGGTTTATATTATTTCTAAGATACTTTCTATCATAAGACTGAGATTTTTGTGACAGTGCTATTTACAAACATAAATGTAATATCTTACAAGGGTTATTAAGATTATAATGTACTTATAAATTGCATTCCATTTGCAAAGAGCTTTTATACATGCTGTTTTTTGGGGGCTCCTTTCAAAAACATAATAAATTATATTAGCCCTGATGGTCCAGTGAGAAAACTGAGGCTCAGAGTAGCAACATGAACCATTGAAAATTACATAGTTGTTATTTGGAGAACAGGCACAATAACCTTAGACTTTCAATAAAACTTTCCTACAAAGAAACTAGAAAGACGTTTTTGAAATGCCTCTATCCATTGCACAAGTTGGAGGTCTTCCAAATACCAGAAGCAGCATCAAAATACGTGATGAAATAGGTCTACACTAATTATATTGTTTTTTAAAGTCTGTGTTTCTAATAGGCATGATGTCAAACCACTGGATGAAATGTTCATCAGCAATTCACTTCAGTCAGTATAAGCAGCCCAATATTGTGACAAAAAATATAGTTCATTGATTATAGTTTCCTTTTTTGATCTTTTGGTGAACACTGTTTAAATAGGACTTTAACATGGTGATAATTTCCTTTATTTTTATACACATTTCTCTGGTAAACTCTATCTGTAGTAACAGATGGTCAGGCCACAGATAAAATGGTTTCCATCTAAATCTGTAAAAACAATATTCAGTAAAATGTTATGCAGACTAAATTGTGAAAAAGCAATGTTTATGCAGCTGCAGCATAGGAATTCCTGAAGAAGTGTACAATGATATATTTGATTAAAATCTACTGGCTGTTAAAATTTTAAGGAATTTTTTTTTTCTAAGAACTTGAAGACCTAAAATAGCTCAATTATTCTCAGGGTGACCATGAGGTAACCACATATAGCTCTTAAAGACATAGTACAAGTTTATATAATGAGAAATTAAGATTCCTACACTTTTTTTCTTCCTTTACCAGAGGCCATAGCTGGATCACTTGATGCTGCTAATTATATGGGGTAAAATTCAATTTAATTAGACAAATATTTATAGAGCACATTTTATTTCACAAAGCACTCTGTGAAGGGAAAAGAAGGAAGAGCAGAAAAAGGCCTCGATGAATTCACATCACAATAAATGCAACAAACATAAATCATGAGCCAATCAGAGTGAGGGCAACAAGAAAAATAATTACATGCTACAGAAGAGAAACTAAATTTTTAGGTATGGATAATATTATGCAATTATTTTTGTACACTAGTTTTCAAAACGTTTATGCTACTTGAGGATAATTCTCAATGTTTGGTTTCACAGCACTTAATTGTGTTTTCCAGAAATGTGTAACATTTAGAAAGTATAATAAAACCATATGGTTTAAACTTTGCAATTGGAATATAAATTGGGATAGAATTTATCTTTAAGAAAAGCTATTTGAGCAATTAAATAATATCAGTAAGTTGCAGAAGAATGTTTAACCTACTTATGTAAAAGTAGTTCAAGTTTTCTAAAATGGGTTTAGCATACTACTTGTATATTCACAACGTGTTAATTTTAAGTTAATCATATATTCTTTAAAGCAGATTCAACAATTCTTAGCCTGGGCAATACTGTCTTTGTTCGAATTAGTATATGTGAACTTTTGAGTACAAAAATGTTCTTATAAAATATTCTAAAATTTCAAATTTTAGTTATATAAGAGTAACCTTGAGTTCAATTGCTTTGAATTAATAAGGAATTGTTTTATTAAAATATTTTGTTTAATTTGGTTTCTATTCAGGAAAATTCTAACAAAAGGGAACTCTAGTAGCTTTTATTTTCAGTTTTATTTTATGAAATTTTATTTCAAAGTTTAGAAAAGTTTTTAAAGAGTCTTAAGTATTAAAAATAAGCAGTTGGTGAAAAATATATGTTTTAGTTTTAAGTATACTGCTTATGTATAAGTATATGCATTATACTTTTAAAATAAGTTTTTCACAAATGGTCAAATTAGTAGACAGTATGATTTTATTCAGGTTTTGAACACACAGCACATTAAGAGACTTTATTTTGAATATTCAGTACTTTAAGGATAGTACACTGAAGATGTCTATCTTTTGTATATTCCCAGTTCATGTACTAATGCACTAAGAAAAAAGAAAAATAATGACCAATCCTTCATTTTTATCTGAATTAATTTTTTATGTGCTGTATTAATGTTAAATGAGGTCAAATATAGGAAAAGAATGAACATTTGAGTGTGTACTAAATGCCAGGCACTTTATAGACATCATCTCATTTTATAACTGAAATGCCATCAGTTCCAATTTATCAATGGGGAGACTGAGGTTAAGGGTTGGGATCAACCCTTAAGTTTACATGACTGGTGATAGGTATTAGCTGGAATTCAAAACCCTGCAAACCAAGCCTTATGTGGCTCAAGTCAGTCGTTAATCTGCCTCCTATGTGCACGGAAGCATAATGATTATCCATACAAATCAGTCTCTATAGAGGATTCGAATACTTAGCTTACTTTTTCATTGTCACTGACTCATTTGAGAAAAAAATGTTCATTAGTGCATTCTGGTTTGACACTCGTCTCTTAACAGTTGCTTCATATGACCTATGACAGGTTTCATCAAAATGTTTGGCATTAGTGTGTTGTGTAGTGGGTTTTAAGCTACAACAGATAATTAACAGATACTCCAGACAATCAGCCTTGATTGTAAATAAGTAAATAGAAATAAGTAAAAAGAGAGGATGGATTGCAAAGCTCTTCGCCAGTGGACCAAAAGATCAGGTTAAACCTCTGTCCTACATGCAGAGGAGACCTATTAGTCTAGCCAGAACTTTCCTTTCGCTTAGCAATGAGGCCAGAGAACTATTCCTTTCTGCTTGGAACTGTAGAGATGGACTGCAGTTGCTGAATTTCCTCGAAGTCACATTTTTCCATTGGCCCGCTGTGCGTAGTTCTTTCGGTTTAAGATAACTGCTTTGACCTAGCTTGGCACAGGTCAACTTACTTCTAATCACACACATTTTTATTATGCCATGTAAGTAAATGAGAGAGTGAAATGTTTTATAGCAAATATTACCGTAAAGAACATCTGCC